AGGCTGGGTCATGGGGGGTCGTACTCGTGGGGGTCAGTAACAGCAGTGGCATGGTGCAGATAGGTAAGAGGGTATAGCGCAGCAGAAAATGAAAACATCTAAAAAATGAAATTTCTTTGCAGGTTCAGTCGCTCCATTCCTCCACCTTCATGAGAAGGGCGTATTTGAAGGCAGTAAAGAATGAAAGTGCATCCCCGCAAAGAAGACTGCCACATGTGCGCACGCGCTGCAAAGGCACCTCCTCCATCTATCGCTCGCTCCTTCTCCCTTAATACCTCGTTGAGAATGACACTGTTGTTAGGGACGCTGTCAAAAAATACAGCCGCAACGGCCCCCTTGACCTTAGGTTACAATTGTAAAGCCCTCCACTACCCACTAATATAAATGGTTCTATGTGCTTGGCTAGTAGCCAAGGATATATTGAAGCCAAGAGTTTTGTCCTTCCATACCTTCACGTGTGAATATTGTAAAGATGAAGTGAGGCAGAACTTCTCACCCGTCCTCGATGATAGTGAGACTTTCACGGTCGTTGCGATCTCGTGCTATGCAGGTGGTAACCGTATAGTTACTACCGAAATTGTCATCGTCATCGATTCTCAAATCAACATTTTGACCGAGAATCACGGTCCTAACCTGAAAGCAACAGAAAGACTTGTATACACTGATTACCTTAGGAACTTCTTGTATCATGAGAATTGTTCTCGAGAAGAAAATTTGGCACATTATCTTCAACAATTTTTCGAACTAGGGGTCATAACTATAAAATTCTAAGGGAAAAAACTAATTCAACAGAATTTCGAAGTTCTTTTACACAAAGGGTTATCACTCTCTGGAATGAGCTACCGCCTTCTGTCATTAACTCAAGTTCACCTAGCTCATTTAGAAGCAAAGTGAGGAGAATTATGATTTCTCGAGGTTGGTTCTGAGAATGCGAACTGAACTTTGATCACAATTAGAGGCATGGAAGCGATCTATAGTGTTGATTTTATAGAGTATACGGTACTTAATGGTTGTTTTGTTACAGTACAGTTTTTTTGTTCTGTTGTTTTGCTTGGCGTTTGTTCGGTCGTTCCCCTTCGAGCCTTCAGGGAGTCGGATCTTGGCAAAGTTGGCGGACCTACTGAGCTGGTATCCGGAGCTCTCAAGCTTGCAGTGTTGGCGGCCACTGCCCTTCTGCGCTGACTATCCACTCCCTTCCCTCATGCCCCCTTTATCAGACTTGTTTTCTTTCTTTTTTTTTTGTAGTTATCGGAAATTTGCTTTGTACTTGGCTTTCCAATTATTGTAAATGGAAATCCGATAATAAATCATTATCATCATTTGCATTATTACAACCCCAGTGGGAGTGCGATGGGGGAAAAATATTTCCAGCAAAACTTCTCCCGTGGGGTTACCGAGGCTCCTGATCACAAATATGACATCCATTTTTGGCGCTGGCGCCAATTGGCGCCAAGGGTGTTTTCACCAAATTCGCTGTAAACTTGTGTATGGGGTTAATTGGAGTCCTGGTTACGAACATGACAATTGTTTTTGACATCCACGCTCTTTGATCCACAGCTGAACCTAACGAAGACGATGTTTATGAGAAACGGATTGGTTCCTGATGCCCCATTCACGCTCAACGGAACGAACATCACCGAATGCTCCAGCTACGTGTACCTAGGTCGGGAAATCAATATGATGAACGATCTAGCTCCAGAGCTGAGCAGGAGGAAACGAGCGGCTTGGGGAGCGTACAAGAACATCGAGGGAGTAGTGAAGAAGACGAAGAACATCCGGCTCCGTGCCCACCTCTTCGATTCCGCTGTCCTTCCTGCCCTAACCTACGCCTCAGAGACTTGGACTCTGCGCAGGCAGGACGAGCATGCGGTCAGCGTTATCCAACGCGCTGTCGAGAGGACGATGCTAGGAGTAACCCTATACACGCAAGTGCAGAGGGGAATCCGGAGTGCCGAACTACGCCAACGATCGAAGATCAGGGACGCTGCCGTTTTCGCCAAGGAATCGAAGATAAGGTGGGCCGGACACGTCATGCGATTTTGCGATGACCGTTGGACCAGAGCGGTTACCGACTGGATCCCTCGGGACGTCAAACGAACACCTGGACGACCGCCGGCCCGATGGTCAGACTTCTTCACGAAAGCTCTGAACGAAAGGAATGAAGGACTTCGTGTCCCTCGAGCAAGGAGGATCCACTGGACCACTCTAGCACGCGACAGGGACGAATGGAGACGTTGCTGGCGCCCGCTCGAGCAATCGATGATCAACGGGACGACAGGTGATACTTTGAATGTTGACCCTTCTGCTTACCTCCTCTCACTTGGGCCAACGGCAAAAACAAGTGGCATATTCGTAATCAGAACCGCAAAAAAGCTCTACACACAATTTTTGAAGCAAATTTGGTGAGAATCATTCGTGGCGCTGAATGGCTCCTATTTGGGGCCAAAAATTCTTTTGACCCATCTCGCCCCTTACTGGGGTTGAAGTAGTGCAGTAGTTTTTACGACCAACTTTTGACTGTATATCGCTCAATTCAACATTCATTTTAAGAGAGGAAACTGCGGAGACTGATGACAGATCGCGCTTGAGGCAAGACCTAAAGGCACCCCATCCAGTTTTCAAAAAAAAAGAGTCGAACCTCGGATTTCCTTTTTGATCGCAGCTCCATCTTCATCGGATTGTATGGAATCTTCCCATGTGGATGAATAGACACTTCGCCCATATTTCTATAATGCCTTCAAGTAAATGAATTCCGTCACAAAACATAACATTTCAAAGAACCCACTTCACTTGTAAAAAAAAAAAAAAAAAAAAAAAAAAAAAAAAAAAAAAACTGTTTTTGGGGGGGGGGGGGGGGGGGGGGGGGGGGGGGGGGGGGGGGGTTAAAAAAAAAAAAAAAAAAAAAAATTGGGGCCCCCCCGCCCCGCCCAGACATTTCGTGGTTTGATTACTATAATCACATGAGATACGATAGAGTTTATCGTATTCTGTAATGACGGGCATTTCACTCAGATTGTTCTGCTTGACGACAATCACATTTTCGAACACAAAACCGTTCTGCAAATCTCTGACTAGTGTTCAGCAGAATCAAAGTCAAAGCTTAATAAGAGCTTATACCCGTGAGAATAGAGCAACTCTGCGAACTGAATAGCATCTTCAGTTGCGCCTCCGTTCCATTGATGGCGATGGAGCAGTTCTCGTGAGCGTTTCGTGGGAAAACTTCGCCACTGATGTGCACAGGTGAAAACACCTTAATTTTCTCAATTGTTTTCCATGGTTCTTGATTATTGTCTAAGTGAAGTCAAGGTAGTAAGGATATGCAGCTATCAGCAAATTGAAGGGCATGTGTCGTAATGTCACGGCTGAGATGGTCCCGGAATCTACCACAATGCGGCAGAAACAGAACCAGACTAGAGCTTGCTCTACCAGGCAAGTACAGGGCTTTATGCGATTTATTCTAAACCAGTCTACTAGGGTTGAGAGTTATAGATGGGTGGAAACCTTCCATGAGTACACCTCTTGAGTGCTCCCTTAATGAGCGACTTCTGCCTCGTGAACATAGACAGAAGGTGCACAAACCTTGATAATGATTCCGTCATAGTTGCATACTGTCTGAACATCCAGCTCAATAGCGCCTTGTGTGAAAGGCTCGCTCCTGATCTTTATCTAAAATCAAAGTGATAATTCTACAGACTATCCCTTCTTTTACTATTGTTGTACTCATTTAAAAACTTCGAAAAGTCCCCTAAGCCTCATTTTGCACCCATGGAAAAACCTGCGGTTCCTACTTAAGCCGTTACAGAGCTATAGCCCAATGTGCACACCCACTGTCGCGGATGCTCGTCATCTCACATAGCTTAGCGGGTATGGTCCCTCGTTTCAGAGTCCTTTTCTCCCTCATCAGCACTCATTTACACCAGAACTGTTCGTGGCCGCGTACGTCGTCCAGGCGCGCGCTGCATCAGGCTCTGTCTCGCTCCAAGCAGTTAGTTTTCCGCTCCCCCGCGGTCTAGAAGCGTGCGCAAATCATAGAATTTGCCAGTTCACGGTAACTTCGATGTTAAAGCAACCCATGGAAACGGTGCAGTGCTGGTGGGGTGACGCCAGTTAGTGCCCACGTTTATCAGGTGTCCTGCTAGGGCCATCCTCCTGCAGGTAAAAAACAAGGGAGAAAGGTCGTAATTATGATTTTTCAAAATAGGGAGTCGTTTCGAGGTGCTAGAGAGGTCCAATTGCAAAAGGGGAAGGTCGTGATGTGAGAAAATGAAATGTGTAGAGTTCGCACTTCCAACAATTATTAATATGTCATATCTACCTCTTCTAGAGTCTTTGTTCGATTTCAAGGTGGAGCTGAAACACTGATTTGAAGCGCCTAGATATCAATGCCACCGTAGTGCAGGTTCGGAATTCAAGTCACAGTGCGATATTGACAGGAATCGTCTGCAATTTAGATACATGAAATAGCTCGTGGTGAGAGGTATGTGGTGGGACGGTAGAGGTGACCGGGCCAGGGTGAATAACGGTCGAGGAAATCCTCGACCATAGCTCTCTACCATGCGAGAGTAGTGCCGAGAGTGAACATCCGCGCGGAGAGCACAGACGGCACGCCATGGCGAGTGTGAATGTCCGCGCGAGAGATCGTGTCTGACCGGGCAGAGAATCCTCGACGTGCCGTTGAGGCCGATGTCATAGTTTGCGAGCTGGATCCGAGCGTTGCGCCAGCGAATCGAACGTTGCACCAGCGAATCGAACGTTGCACCAGCGAATCGAACTTTGCACCAGCGAGTCGAACGATGTACCAGCGAGTCGAACTAGGTACCAGCGACTCAATAGTGGCGGGACCCAACGTTCAAAGGAAGCCCGCCACTTTCAAACAGTGTCACGTGACAGTGGACTGTTTGAAAGTGGCGGGCTTCCTTTGAACGTTGGGTCCCGCCACTATTGAGTCGCTGGTACCTAGTTCGACTCGCTGGTACATCGTTCGACTCGCTGGTGCAACGTTCGATTCGCTGGCGCAACGCTTGGATCCAGCGCTCGATTCGCAAACTATGACATCGGCCTGAGGAATCTTCAAACAATATTCACCTTGGTCGAAGGATCCCACGCAGGGTCAACTGTCACGTCGGACCAATTTCGAAAATTTTACGACCCCCCCCTCAGGGTTAACCCTTCACGGCCATCCTCCACCACCCTCGCCTGCCATCGCCATCATAGGGGCGATTCTATAGTATTTCATTCTGATCGAATGTGAAACGAATGTGAAACGGCTGAAAATTTTCACATTCAACACTCAACCCAAAATCCCAGCCTACAACCTAATCCGCTCTCCGTTCCATAAAAATCATCCCTTCCCTTACTGTAACATTAACGCTACCTCGCGAAATACGACCCCCCTCTTTTCCACCCCCAAATACGACCCCCCACCCCCTCGTTGGACTTTGTCCAACGGACGGTTGACCCTGATCCCACGTCTGATAATGATGGCAAGGTGGCGCCGTGAAAACTTCGAAAAAGTATTATCGCTAGGGTTGACTTTGTAGAGAGGAAGGTGATGCCATCCAGAAAGCGTTATTCCCAAATTTTTACCAGCGCCATGGTTTAATCCTGAGCCCTGTCATTCTTTGCGCTTGTGTAAATCCCCGAAGGTGTAGACGGTTTATTTCCGGAGGCCACAAGACAGTGCTGAGCAGGCTTCACGGAGACGATCACGCATTCCTCTAAGTAGAAAGCCTACGACAGCCCGAGCCTGTCGACTACATTAGCCGAAGTCATATCACGTAAAAATGCGAAAATTATTTCAGCAGGCACATCAAAGTTGTTTCAACTCCCAGCGGGTGCGCGAGTGAGGGAATCATGAAAAGTCCACTGCAGGCACCTGCTTTAGCGCCGATGTATTTCAATTATGACCCTTTCTTTTGTGGTTCTTTTGGAACATTTGAAAGGACAATTGTTACCTGGTCCTTCTTGTTAGCAGAGTGTGCTCTGGTTTTTGTTCTCTTAGATTTATGAGCCTTCTTCCTTGGTTTTCTGTCGTTGGATTTCTTTCCTGCAAATGAATTTGATTTCACATGGTATTCGAAAAAGTCGTCAATATTGCTAAGGATTCGGACATTTCTCCACTTTTTTATTCTATTATACAAAGTCCTTTTTTCTCGACAAGAGACCGAAATAAGGTAGCCTACCTCTCTCGAAAGCGATCACATTGAGTTTGAAATGCTTGCAAGTTTTATCCATTCGCTGGGAGATTTATGGGAGCAAGACATTCTAGAGCTCGACCATTTTCCGGCCGATAGAAACTGTGTTCGCAACTGGCAAATCTTTATTGGGAAAGGATCTAATGAGTAATAGCTTTCAGTTTTTTCTCATCCTGAGCATGTGTCTCACGTCGGTGAATTAGAGTAAAGAAAATAAAGCATAGAACCAATGTTTACGCAAAAAACGCTTCTCGCTCTCATTCAGCATCTAATCAGCCAGTTCACTTCAAGCCAATTTGGCGACACGCTCTACGTGGTCCCTTGACAGTATGGGACAAGGGAAGTTTCATGGGAATCGCCACCGACTCATGGCTTCGTTTCGGAGCCGTTTATGGTTGTACGATAATTTTGATATCAAGTGCCTCGCACTTTCTGCTACAGGCAGATTCAGGTCCGTTGCGCCAATACCTGAAGATTTCACGAGCCCCACTTTAATTGCCCTAGAATGCACCTTCTTACATGGCAAGCCTAGAGGGGTTGAGCGGAAAACTACTAAGTGGTATTCGGAGCAGTAACTTCCTAGTTTCTTAAGAATGTTGGTCGGTTATTCCCTTACCCTTCCAGAGGCCTTTTCTCACTCTCCTTTTCTGTACGATTCGATTCCTTTTTATCTTCTTAAAGGCAAAACCCGACATTGGCCGATGTAAGAGGGGATACCACGGGGGAAGTGTAAAGTCTGTAAACGATTGGAGCACTTCAGCTTTCGGTCGCAGCTTGCGCGGTTAGGCGCAATGCGCCTTGCGCGGACCTGCAACATGAATCGACGTTTCAACCGTTCCACAGTCGGGAGAGGGGTTGAGATTCAGCATGATTGGAGGGATCAAGGGTGTCTCTTAAACGACGGGGACACTCGGACTTATGACCGCCTTCCTCGCTATCGTACCACATTGGACCTGTTAATTAAAGGATAAGAACTTAATTTCAGCGTTTCCAAAGATTTCTCCTGCTTTCCTTCTCACTTTTAGGTCGTTCCGCAACTAAGCTGCCACTACAGAGCGCTGATAACACCAGTTCAATCCCGGACTTTGCCTTTGATAGATGTGTTATGCTAACTAATTACTGCCTTCGAATTGGTTTTCTCCCTATATATTATAACTTCTTAAATATTTCCTATTGCCGTTCCAATTTCTTATGATAATACGTCGCCAACTTTTGTACAATAGTAGCAAATGAAATGAGGTAAAAACACCACTACGGGTGTTGCTATTATGACCAGTAGACAAACTCCAACTCCGCCCACGCTTCTTTCATCGTCGAGCAGAGGAGAATAAGGATAAGGATAAGGATAAAGCATTTGCCGCGTTGTATCATCCCTTTTTGGGATGCGGCACGCATTCTACTTCCATTTGTACATTCGCAGTGGCATTTGAATGCGATGTGGCCTATACAATGACTTGCGGGGGCCAGCCGATGTTCAAGTCAGTGTTTTTTATCCTCCCAGACAAGTCTGGTACCAATTAACCGACCCCGGAGGGATGGAAGGCTTGGTTGGCCCGGGCGACTCACGACCCAGGATTTGATCCCGGACCGCTCGCGTGGTGAGCGCGCCACTTGTCACTACACCACTTCCGCCTGAGGAGAATATGAGAGGATAAATATCTCTAACTTAAGAAAACATCAAATGCTCCGATTCTCCTTATTTTACGCTTCTCTGCTGATCCTTCAGCAAAAATTGTCGAATATTCCACACGTGAAAACGGTCCCTCTAAAATAGCCCTCCTTCCAAGAACCTCAAATCCTATCATTCCCTCCCCCTGAAAATTTTAAAATACGACCACTTTTAAAGATTCGAATGCTACCTCATCTCGTTAGACTTGGTACAACGAGCTATTGTCCTGGCTGCTGATTCCATTGATCCTCTACAGTTTTTTATTGAATAGAGCTCATTGTCAGGGCTACAAATTACACCGATGGACAGCACCGCAATTGTCTGCAGAGCACCATCAATTCTTCAGTTCCCGTATTTCACATTTTATGTTTTGTGATTCGCGAAAATAATGAAAGAAGTCCATGAACTTTTTCTGAGCATACGTACCTCCGAGTTGGATGTGTCAGGCAAAGTTGCATGCAGTCTTTGAATCCAATCGGACCGAGCGTAAATCCGCTGTCCCCTCGCTTTGGGCACTCAGCAGTTTCCTCGAATAGTACCGCTAAAATCGATTTTGTTAGGTAAAGCTAAGCAGTTAGTCAATATTTGGTTGTACCGACCAAGATCAAGCTCGTCTTTAGACGGGCATATTTTTTCAATAACTTTCGGAGACTGCCTCGGCTTGGCAGAGATCACACACTGATCGTTTTCCCAGTATACGGAGCTACATGTAGTGTTGGCTAGGCACCTGAAGCGGAACATTGGGTTCAAAGCGATAGCTGATGAGCAGGATCAACCGTCACGTTGGACCGATTTCGAAAATTTTACGACCCCCAGGGTCAACCCTTCACCACCCTCGCCTGTCCATCGCCATCATGGGGCTCATTCTATAGTTTCGATTCTGAGACCAGTCGACACAGCCCAAACTCCGCCCACTTTTTCCTCCAAAATTACCGTCGAGCGGGGGGGGGGGGTATATACCTACCACGAAACCGCAAACATTCTCTCACTTCCCCCCTATTTCACCAACATTTCCACTGCAACATTTTCTAGGGGGGGGGGGCATACACACCGTGAAACGGCAAAATTTTAGCGCGCCAACTGCATCATCACTTCCCTTACTGTAACATTAACGCTACCTCGCGAAATACGACCCCCCTTTTTCCACCCCAAATACGACCCCCCACCCCTCGTTGGACTTTGTCCAACGCACGGTTGACCCTGCCGATGAGTCATGTTCTAATCGATATCCGTACGCATTTTCACCGACCTCTGAAGACACTGGCTTCTTACTTGTGAACTTCTGCCATGGTAGGATATGTACATGGCATTTTTAGAAGAACAACTGTTTTGCGGCTGCTTGCAAATATTCTCGAACACCTGGAATATTAGAATGTACATCACGAAATCCACGGTTTTTTCATCGCGCCACTGACACTTGTCACAAGAGGAAGGAATGAGTCGGCTGAAATCAAAAGACACTCTTTTTCAACTCGATCTTGTTATCACTATAATATGCAATCCCCATGTTGTTGAGAACCTGATTCGGTCGGATGTCAATAAGAAGGATACAAACGTGCTTATAAGTGTGTAAGGTAAATGCAGTTGTATGAACTTCGGAGATCGCTGATGTACTACCGCAGTGAAGGATAATCAGTGGACATCCCTTCCAGTGGGAGGAGGTGGTTAGTGAGAAGGGCAGACTGCCGCGCTCAGGTCCAGGGTCTATATCCGAGACAAATTTCGTACAGTCTAAGTAATCCTTCATCCTTTACCCACCTAATAATTGCCTTACAGACCTTGGACGAGCGGAAGAAAAGCCAGGAAAAT